TAACTTCACGTTTTGTGGAGGGCATGAACTTAAGAGAATGGCTATCGTTTTCTTTCCCTGAGCTTCCATACAGTCCTTGGGAACTCATCTACAGAAAAATTCGCTAACATTTGTCAAATTGAACGAGAAACGCGATCGAGTTTGAAACAGAGCGAATTCACTTCTTAAGTGATGTTTTTGTAGCCGTTGCTGTCGTTTTTTGCTCAAGCTCCCTGAAAACCTTTCGTGGCGACACGGAAAGCTGTACAGAAATCACGCCGAAATCACTTTTTTTGTGCGTGAACGGAAGGCCTCTAATCGGAATGGAACGTAGCCTTAATCAAATCAAACTTTGTGGCTCTTGGCAGCACCCAGAAGTAGACGTCAGTTTTTTCTGTGGTTTGATAGCAAGAACAAAAGCTAACAAAGAATCGAAGAGTTTGTAAAATGACTTATATCCTTTGTTTAATGTTGTAAGGACTTCACATGTCATTTGTGTAGTAAAAACACGTCTAGAATTCACAATAAAAATTCTAAACCCTACTCAAAAAAATAACAATAAGCACAGAGCTAAAGAGATTACTTCTTTTGAAAACAGCCCATCGTTGGCTTGCGTAAAACAATAAAATAGGAGGTTTAGGAATGGAAAAGACAATTGAACGGACGCAAGGTGATTTTTATCATCTTCAAGTATTCTTTTTAGCTGAGAAAACGAGAATACAGTTGTACAATAGATTTGGCTTTCAACTCTTGGACTGTACTGTAGATAAGTTAACTGTGCGAGTTTTTCTGTCACGAACAGGAGGACCGAACGTGCATATTTTTAATCTGCTTTTGTTAATTGAGTCAAACACATAATTTATGCAGTCAATCTCGCACATAAACGATAAAGGGCGGTACATTATGCAGGTATACATGTCAGATGATTGATGTTGGCCCCAAATCTGTTTACATAGGAAAACTTTGGCAGATTTCATGTCCACTTACAAAATAAATAATGAAAATAGCGCGTATGATTTTAATGAATTACTGCCGTGCGAAAGCACAGTAAATTGCACCATTTTCAGACCTTCTTCCGTGTCCTGTTCATTTAATTAAAATTCAAAATCTACAATATTTATTGATGAGTCAGTCACGGTTGTTCAGGGTCAAAAGGTTTGATTGGATGCAACTAAATTCGATAAATTCGATTTTTTAAGCCACTCGATTGACTTGAAAAGTTGCAATGGTACCTATAAGAAAAAATGTCCTGTACGTATGCGGGGGGTTCCTTTGGTAACTTAAGTAGAATTTTGGTCTCATAATATTAGACAATGTCGCACTGAAGATGGAATTTGCAGAGTCATCATCGCACCCATCGCACCAGCGTTCGCGTTCCACTTAAATGCAATTAGGTCACGAAAATTAAAACTTACCACATTCAATTCCAATCGCCTTCTTTACATTTTCCAACCCGCTGTAAATCAAGTGATTCACTCCCAGCGCCTCGCACACGTCAATCACTCGCTTGCCCTGTTCAATTTCTTTCTCCTTGCTAAAATGCTCCCAGTAATTCGTGACCAAGAAAACTCCGTAGGAGCCACGGATTGCTTGTTCCACGGACTCTTTGTCATCCATATCACACTTGACGACTTCACATCCCTTGCTCTTCAGTTCCTGCCCCTTAGCTCCTTCTGGTTTTCTCGTAATTGCACGAACAGCGTAATCTTTTCCATCGTCGTTGATGGCTTTGAGGAGAGCTGAGACAACTCCACCACCCTGTCCGCCAGTCGCTCCAAATACTGTTATGACCTTTGGCATGTTAATGCAAAATTTACGTAGCTATAAACTTTGATAAATGATATGGAAGCTCAATGCCTGTATTGATACACGCTGGTGGTGTATTGGACTTATTTGCAAGTAAAATCAGCTTAAAATTCGTGGGGTTATTTCAATACCTTGTCGTCCCAAGATTGGTCACGTGATTTACGACACGTACGTGACAAAGCCCAAGAGGACTGTATCAACAGCAAGTGGACGTTTTGCATACTTAGGGCCTGTTTACATGGAGGTGGGGGCGAGGGGGGGGGGGGGGTATTCCGCTGCGCATTAAAGCATAGATCGGGCGTCAGCGACTGGCTGCTGAGTTCATAGGCATGCGGAGTGAAAAGAGAGAGGGAGTGGTCCACACGGCGGGTGTGGTTGTTGTGGTTAGTGGGGTGTGTTGGGGGGGGGGGGGGGGGGGGGGGGGGGGGGTAATCCGCCTGTCGAAAAAGTGTTTCTTTTTTATTTGTTTGTGTTTGCCGGGGCGGGGGGGGGGGGATTAACCGCCACATGTTACCTCACCTGTCTGGGGTCTCCCTCCTCCACGTAAACAGGCCTTTAGGCAGTGGTTTCACAAAAATTTCTGGCAAATCGTTTCTATTGGAGCAAAAACACCTAGCAATACAAATTTGGCAGCGTTTAGAGATGTTACATGTAAAAAGGAAAAAATCCCACTTCCAGTTGACGTGCGCGGCTCAAAATCCCCTCAAACATCCTTATTTGCCCATTTCCCAGCAACATTTTCCTCCTAAGGACAGATTACTTTTTCGCAATCTCCCAGCCAGAAAAAAATTTGCCTGAAGAACGGACATTTTGAGGAAAAGATCCATTTGATACCCCTGATTATCAATGTCAAAAATGTCTTGGTAAAAGCTCTCGTAAGCGACTGCCCTTAATGTTTACTTCAAAGTTGCTTACAAGAGCCAAAGAGCCTTTTAGCAAAGAACGACCACCCCTAGTCGCGATCCATTTTATGAATTCCCTGCCAATGTGGTCGCTAAGGAAACATTTGGCAGCACTGATTCCTTCTTTTAATCATTTGTTTTAAGAAGAGTAAAGCTTATTTACGAAGAAATTTAATACAAAGAAAAAACAATTTACAGTGAATTTTAGTACCAAAAGACGTGACAAAATGTTTCTCATTGATGTATAGTGACAGTTAACACGCAACGTATTTCACCACTGAGGCATCCCAATACAAACAATTGCAAGTTTTTCCAAGAGAAATGATCTATTCTCTCTACTGTTTTCGCACAAGTGCATGAAATTAACCTTTTTTTCCAAAACTTTGATTGTTATTGTCTCGCTGGAAGACGTTTTAATGAGAAGAGACTGATTATGTCTGATACTTCTAATAACAAAAGATTTGGGAGTGCAGAGGAGATTCAGGCTTCTGATCGAAAATCAAAATGCTCTTGCTCCAACGCTATGTTTTGCCTTGGTCACGTGGTCTTGAAACGAGTGGCTCTGGGGACGAGAATGGAATGCAGGTCACACACGTGCCAAGCATGCGTAATAGCAACCTGAGGATTATGAGTGTGGGCTCCTCTTGTCGCCCGCCAAATTGTAAGAATCAGGATGCTTTAGTAAAGGCATTTTAACAGGCACGACTGTGATGACAATAGATATAAACAAGAGACTATAAAGGGGACAGGGAGGGCATCCCCCATATACACCCTATTCCATAGGTAATTCGTCTCGAGTTATTTTTAACACCACAGATCTTAAGGGGGATTAGACAACAGCCAATCACATAGCGCGAATGTGTTCCGCGTGGATGACCCACGGTGAGAGCCACGCGTCCTTCACGAAATGACGCAGAACGAAATGGTGGAAGACGCGGAGAGCGATTTTGCTATTCCTTTTGTCGACGAAAACGACTACAGCGAGATTTCTGCGAAAGCTGTGTCAGGGAAACCGAAATTAAAAAAGAATCGCCCTTCCTCTCTTGTATAGAGCTAACAGTAGAGCAGGGAAATCCTTAACACACTGAATATTCTCTCAGGATCATTTATAATTTACAGTTTGAAGACAGCAATTTCTGGTTTGATGTTTATTTTTTTTCAGTCTTTATAGCGATTATTCCTACCTACCTACTTTGTCAACTGTAGGCGAACCCTCGTCGTTGCTTATTTACGTCCTCCATAAAACGCGAAATTAGGCATTTTCACGTCGTAGTCGTGCAAAAACGGGAAAGAAATGAACAAAAAAGTGTGTTGCACGTGCGAAGTTGTTGTTTTGCTAATTAAACCTATTGTTTTTTTGACGTTCTAGTTGTCGTCCGCGTCGTTGGATCTTAAACTCCCTAAATTGTACAAACGACCGGTTTCAATAGACCGGCGAAATTTCTCATTTTATTAAAGCACTGAGGTTACGACAACTTCGAGTTAAACTGATTTCACGGGTTGTCAAAGAGTCCAGCGATTCCTTTTTCCCAGGTGAGCGCCGACTCATTTCGCTTCAATATTCAGGAATGCTCTCGATCTTTTTACGCTTTCATTGCCTCTCGCCCGACATGTTTTGCACGGCGTTTGGTCATGCGAAACCTCCACGAAACATCCACGCCTCGCGCGAGGTAACTTTATCCCAATTCTAAAAATAACTCGAGACGAATTACCTATAGAATAGGGTGTATATGGGGGATGGCCTCTCTGTCCCCTTTATAGTCTCTTGATATAAACCATGCATACCAGCATTTAGTTCGGTTGTATTATTTCACGAGACAGGTTCTTCTATTGATAAGTCAAGGGCACTTTTGGAATTAAACTTAATATAACCTGTACAAAAAAAAAATGTCATAATGCGCCGTTGAAATTGCTTTGAAGAGTTTTAGTAGAATTACAACAACAAAAAATTCTTCCAGCAAAAAATTTTTTAGATCACAAAAACCATAGATCTGATGGTAACTGAAAACTAAAATCCTACACACGGAACCGCATAACGCTTGGTGGTACAGTCAAACCCCGCTTAATAGGGACACTCCTTATTTCGGACAGTTTGCTTTGTCCCTGGGGAAAGGAGGCCCTTACATTCCCTCTAAATTCAACCCGTTTATTACGGACACTTTCTATGGCCCCCTTAGTGCCCGTATTTATCGAGGTTTGACTGTAACTTTTTAGGGGTATCAATAACAGCACTTGACTAGAAATTAAGCAGTTTGCAATCATACACTACTCAAAAATGATAGAACTGTCGACCTCCTCCAAAATACTTTAAATTTAAGACTCTATGTTCAACGAGTTAAAGTTGTTTTCAAGCATTTCCTTGTTGGCCTTCACCCACGCCTCAAACCCTTGAAGATCTGGATTCAGCTTCTTTGTCAACTCGATATCGCAGTCCGGGTTTCCTCGCTTATAATACTCGAACATATTTCCAAGTTCCACTGCTCCGGGAAAGCCAAGAGCTCTAAACTGATCCAAGGTGATTTTAGAATCCTTCAAGAATAAAACAGGAACGTTTTCATTGACGTTTTAAGGTTAAGAAAACAGTAAAGATATTATACGCCTCGTCCCTCAACCTTGCATTTGACAAGTTTAGCGTTAAAAAGAAAAATAAGACTGAGGTTTTCGTATTTTAAGAGGGACACATGTGAAGGAAATTAAAGGATGTACAGGGAGGTATTTCCAGTGTAAATAATGAACTTACCCGACACCCGGAGGCGGGGATACTCCCTCATATGGGCTATATAAGTACGTGCGGCGAAATAGGGTATGGTTTTTTAGGTTCTCGGTCCTTAAATAGGGTATCTTGTTTGACCCTTTTGTTTCTGTGTCCCTGGTGTGGTCCTTAGATAGGGTAGCTTAATTGTATTATCTAATACTGGAGTGTGAAAACGCCCGCCTAAACGAACATTTGTTTTTAAACTATGCTATTTCTAGTATTTTATGCTTGATGCTATACATCCAATGTTACAGAAAAGAAATAAAGTTTTCCTTTTCATGCTATTAATAATTTTGTTTTTTCCTTGAATAGGGTGTCATTTGTCGGCTTCAGTTTTCGCTTTCTTAGTCCTTAAATAGGGTTAGGGTTCACGAACCTTCGCGGCGCACCCCTATCCAAAATTCGCGGGAGTACCCCCCCCCCGGACCCGACAAGACTAGAGGAAAGAAAACGGCAAACCTTGTGTGTCAAGCATGACAATAACCATGTTTGAAAGTTTGAAAGAAAACTTCCCTCTAAGCTTCAACTTATTTTACTGAAGCACATCTTTGTAAAACACCAAAACAAACTGATTAATGTTAAGTGAAGATCACGACAAAACACACAAGTAATAAGCCCTATCACGTTTGTCACACGCAAACGCTTCACCATCCTCTTCTCTCTGCCGTCCTGTATTAACGTTCAAGAAAAGAAAAAGAAAGTTGTTGTCTTGTGTTTCCGTCCTCGATAAAACGTGAATAAAGGAAGAAATTAGGCACTTTCACGTTGTAGTCGCGCAATGACGGCAAAGAGATGTACAAAAAAGCGTGATGCACATGCAAAGTTGTTGTTTTGCTACTATGGTCCCTAATGACTCAACAAAGACACTAGTTAAGGAGAGGTCCAGCTAGGATTTAAGTAGTTTGTCAACTAACCTGGAATGTCTTAGGGCTCAGATGTTCTGATAATATGTCACAGTACTGCTGAATAGTCAGTTGGTCGGCGCTCAGACCAATAGTTTTAAAGCGAAAACAATCAGGGTCTTTCAATATGCCTACAGAATCGAAATATACAAATAGGATGTTAAAAACTTTTCAGTGCTGTTATTGTTCCCTTAAAATATTTCTCCGTTTCAGATTTGCTTTAATCCTCTGTCTTATTGAAAGATGCTAAGATTATACCGTGGGTAACAGCCTCGAAAATACCTCCATTCAAAGGGCAACTCGATGAAGTGGTGGGAGGAAACTTCCGTTACAGGAGTATGATTATTTTAACACTATATTTGGTAACACACCATAAACACATTCTCCTCCTTGTTTGACGTCAATCGCATCCACGGGAGCCCCCTCCATTGGAATGTCGTAGACAAACGTGTTCTCGTCTAATCTGCGTGGCCTGGTCATGAAATTATCGAAGTAGCCTGGGAAGCGAACGATGGTGAAATTCAGTTTATCTTTCGGTTTCTTCGTGTGGAGGTATTCTTCAACTATGCCTTTGCTGTCAAAATGTGCTTGAGGAAAAAGAGTTGAAAAAGAATGTTGTTAGTCTCACAAGATTAAATCAAGCAGTGATTTAATGGCATAGCAACCAAACAAACCCTTCTTCTTGTCCTCAGAGCCACTTGGCTAAGACCACGTCACCAAAAGAAAAGAAGGACCCTGGGGTCGAGTATGAAAGGATCTGTTTACGCATGAGCAGAAGGATGACATTTGAGCGATGGCGGGAAGAGGATACATTACAGGCGCCAAGTTTTCTTCGCTTGTCCCCCGAAAGTAGGGGTCCTCATGCAGAGCTGCAAATAACAGTTGGTCATCGGACGATGTCCAACTGTTACGATGTCTGACGAAAACTAATCCTACCTGCAGTTGGACATGATGACCGGACAGATCAAATGCTATCCTTTTGAATGGTACTCTTACACATAAAGTGGAACCCCGTTTATACGGACACCAAGGGGACATACCACAGTGTCCACTTCATCCGGGTGTCTGTATTAAGTGAGCTGTCGGAAAATTGGTCACGGACACATGTAGCAGTCAAGAGAAAGAAAGGTAAAAACAGTAACTGCAGGGATAAAACCTCATCAAACGGCTACAGTACAAGGGTGGGTCAAACACAAGGAAAGAAAGACGGGCCGATCAAACCAAACATGTTACGCTATTTTGTTACCGTTTTTAGTACATGATAGTGACAAGGAAAGTAAATAGTGCGTGGGTATTCAGTATCAGTGTAAAGCGGGGTTGACGATATATCAGAGTTTGTGACTCGGGACACAGAGAAGTGTCTGTTGTTCTTAAATAGTGTTTTCACATGACGTCACGGCGGCCATATTGGTGTCCCAAAACAATGAAACGGCGGCCATGTTGGTGTCCCAAACCAGACTGAGTCCTGGCATGTGGGAGTTGAACTCTTTTCTTATGCAAACGCTTTTATTTGTACCAATAAATTTGCATAGATGCTGGCCACGTGAGTGAAAACACTCTATCAACCGGTGTCCGTATTAAGTGGGTCAATTTTGGAGAAAATACGTCAGGACAAACGAAACTTTTCGTTATATACGACTGTCCGCATTACGCGGGTGTCCGTACTTAGCGAGGTTCCACTGTATGCCAACTCTCCCGGATGCAGCACAAATCTTCCTGTCTTCCTGACGGGTCACCTAATCTCCCGATTAAAATCGATTTTCGAACTTTTCAGTACTTAAGTTTGGATTTAAGCCCAATTCTCCCCGCAAATTTCAAAATATTTCCTTTTCATTATACCGTTTCTGCTGCATTTGCCTGTATTTCATCACTGTCGGGCCTTATTTCATTTCTAGTCATAAAAAGCGATTTTTGTTGGTCTGTACCTCATGTAAGACTTCTGAAATAATGTCAATGTGTCACAATGAATTAAAACGGAAAAACCGTCAGGGATACGTGACACTTGTACTTCAACAGCTGATGAGGTAATATTTGGTAAAGAATTATCCGACTGTTCGCATACCTGACTGGTCATATTTTTGTGATAACCTTCTGCGGAGTACATCAAACACATAGCAGTACCAGAACTTACTATTTTGTTTGTCATTTTAATTCTTTTTTAACCTAGTAAAAAAGGAGAAAAAAATCAAGGGCCTGGAATTTTTTACCCCGTCACTTGTTTCTCCCTTACTCCGTTACTCTTCACTGCGTTACTTAATACTTTGTTTCGTTGATATATCCGACAGAAGGAGAATGGGTTACGTAACAGAAATATTATAAGAGTTTGTATGGAAAATTTATCGACAAATATTTAGGGCCTTAAAATAGAAATAAAAATACATCAAAACTCCCTACCTTGTCTGCTTGTTTTGTTTGTGGTATGTTCTCAGCATTTCTGGCCGTTTCATTGCGATTTTAGCGAATTTTATATAAATAATTATCGCATACATAGAGAGAGCAACGGTCTATAAATTTTCCACACAAACTATTATAACAATTCTGTTATGCAACTCACTCGTGAGCTTGGGGTACCTGTGGTCCAACTCAGTTACTGGATGGAATTGAAGTCAAAGCCCCGGGACAACGGCGCCATTACGTAATGAGCTTTCCTCTTCGTTTTCGGTGTTTTCCTAACCTTACTCAAATCTTTGTTTGATAACAGTGAACTAGGATTTTTTCAAGTCATCACATCAATATTTGGGCATCACTTGAATACATTAATTAGGTCACGAAATGCTGGGAACATCTAGATAAATAAAACTTACCACATTCAATTCCAATCACCTTCTTTACATGTTCCAAGCCACTGTAAATCAAGTGATTCACTCCCAACGCCTCGCACACGTCAATCACTCGTTTGCCCTGTTCAATTTCTTTCTCCTTGCTAAAATGCTCCCAGTAATTCGTGACCAAGAAAACTCCGTAAAAGCCATGAATCGCCTTCTCCACAGATTCTTTATCATCTAGATCACACTTGACAACTTCACATCCCTTGCTCTTCAGTCCTTGCCCCTTAGCTCCATCTGGGTTTCTTGTGAGTGCACGCACAGCGTAATTTTCTCCTCTTTTTATGGCTTTGAGAAGAGCTGAGACGACTCCACCACCTTGACCACCAGTCGCTCCAAACACTGATATGCGCTTCGCTATTTCCACGCAAAATTTTCTTAGCTAAAGCAAGACTAAGTCCGCTGATTTACAGGAAAAACTCCGACGTGCGACAAAGATCAGTTTCTATTCTGTGGCTGCATACTCACAGTCACAACAGTTTTCCCGCCCCAGGCTTGACTTCATGCGGTTTCTCGCGCCTCGGCCCCTGAGCTCATGCTTTTGACTTTGCGCGTGCCACGCGCAAGCAGCATGCGCAGTAGAGAAGAGATCTTGGCCTGGCAACCTCGTTCTCAGAGTCCACGTTACCCTTGTCCAGCGGAACGAGATTGTGGGCAAGGTTGTTCAAAGCCCAACCTCGTTCCCAGGGTTCTCTGCTAAACGTCCTTACGGAGCGAGAGAGAGATAGAGAGAGACGGGTAGGAGAGAGAACCTTGGAACGAGGTTGTTTATGTCCCAGGATCAAAAAAGCCAATTTAGATTGATTCTATTTTTTCCTACTACTTGTTAATTGGTTGCTCTAAAAACCATAGAGAAACTAGATAAATTCGAGAAAATGTTTTATTAGAAGAAAAGAAACACCAAGATTAATATTTCACCCCGGGTTAGCGCTTATCGGTCTTTGAGTAACTGGGCCTGCTGGGGTCGAGACTCGAGAGGGTACTAAAACGTTGATGGAGCAGTATGCATGTTTTAGCTACTTGCCAAAAAACATTCACTTGGAAAACTGTCATTGAACAACTTCCGACAAAACATAGCTCTTGCCAATAGGTAACCATGTATCACCACAGTTGTAACACGCTAACCTCGCCATAGGAGGGTCAGTGGGGTTAACCGTCAGCCATCAAAAAAGGCAATTTTTTATTGTCAACCGTCAAAAGTGTACCCTGGATACCAGAGGTTTTTTCCTGCCTACGACGAGGAACTTTGTCGGCCTCGCAGGCTGAAGACACGAGCAGCGCGGGTCACTTTTTAGACCTATAGCCGAAACCAGAAAAGGCGCATGAAAACCCCTCGAGGGGTTGCTCCGTTTTAAGCCATATAGGTATGTGCCGCCCCACCGGGTAGGGTTTTTGCGCTGTTTGGGTCTGAAAACGGGTATACACTTTGCCCATTTTGGTCTGGAATCAGATAGGTTTTCGAGAGAGCTACGGGAGTGTATAAACGTATCAGTGTCATTTCAATTCCAAATAAAAAAGAAAGAAAAGATTAATATGCGAATTCGAACTGGATTTTAAGAAATCTTTATGTTGGCTTTCTAGTCTAAGTAACTGCTGGCATAATTTCGTAGAAGCCAAGTCTGAAGATGGGTATGGATTTTATGGGCCAGGTCTGAAATGACATTTTTTGGTCTGAAATCGGGTCAGGATTTGGAGAACCGGGCGGCACACCCCCACCAAGAATTCTCAGGAGTACCCCCCCCCAGGAAAAGCCTCTTGTACCCAGGGGGGGTATCAAAATTGCAGATTAATGTTAACCGTCGAAAAGTTTCATGGTATTTCAAATCTCACTATTTCGGGGATTTTCACCGACATCTGGCTGCTGAAGAAACTCTTAAATGGAAAAACCACTTCCCGTGTTGTCAAAAACTCTCTCTCTAGACATAGCAAAACCTTAAAACTTGTTTATATCTGAAAACATTTGGAAATTTTATTAGTGAAAGGCCAAGATATCCTCCAAAACACCAGAATTAATATAAATTCCTACAGAAATTAATATTTACTTAAACTCTTGGACTAAATAATTTGCACTTTTAAAGTAACCGTCAAACGTCAAAAGCTCTACAATTTAACCTTCAACCGTCAAAACTGACCGTTATCCTTGTAATACTGGAAACCACTACATCAATAGATTTGTTTTCCCAACTTTTAGCCATTGTAACAAAGGCTGCAAATCTATCTTTGACTTTATGGGCCTTCCGGTACACTATTTAGGAAAGGGTTTTTGTAAGATTTTAGGAAAAATAACTCCTTTAAACAGACCTAGAATGAAAAAACTCTTCTACATCGAGCTATGATACGTACACCTCTAAATCAAACAAAGTAAAAAGCTCTTCTCCAACTTTTGGGAAAAAAATTCCTTAAAAAATTATTCGTCTGATTATTTCCCGCGCGCGTACCAAATACGGCCACGTGTCCAAGCACCGGATGTCAGTGGCCCGGCGGAATATAAATAAGAAATCAACAGCGTATTACCAAGGAGTTAATCATCCATCCTCGATTCTCGTCAGGTTTGCACATGGATTACTTCTCCGGCAAGCGTTTGTCAAACAAATTGAAAACAATATTTATCGCTATTCGGCCTTGGTCATTCTCTGCTTCAATCACTAGCACGTTTCTCGGATATTTACTCGCGTGGAAATTCAATGGTGCAATCGACTCCATTCAAGTGCTATTCACGACAGCTTCAATTTTGTTCATTCATGGCGCTGGGAATTTAGTGAACACCTACTACGACTTCGCCAATGGATTCGATACCAAAGATTCTGATGATAAAACGCTGGTAAAGAGAGACCTTACTCCCAAAGAAATTGCCGCTTGTATTGGGGAGTTTTATTTCTTGGGAATGCTATCGTTTCTTGTGGTTTATCTCCATTCAGAGGTAAACAATATCTCGTTGGTTTGTCTTTTCTTAAGTGGCGTTCTCAGTTCTTTTGTTTACACCGGAGGGATTGGTTTGAAATACATCGCGTTCGGAGATGTTCTGATTTTCTTGACCTTTGGCTTTCTAACGACAGCGTTCGCCTATTTTGCTCACACTGGAAAATTGTCAATGGAGATAATTAGCTACGCTTTACCGATGGCACTAAACACAGAAGCTATACTTCATGGGTGAGTGCAAAATTAGCTCAGCGTAATTGATAGTGATTCCCACATTAAGTATCAAACGAAGGAGCTTCATTCCGCCCCCCTCCTCTCCAAATTTGTTTAGTTTTTTTTTCTTTTTTTTGGAAAATTGAAATATTTTGGATTTATACCGTGATCTTGGGTAGACTTTCACATATCGGAATCCATTGTTTTCAATCTACATTGTTACAGCTGTATTCATGTCCAACATCTACTATTTGAGATTCCGGTATACGAAACACAACCCGATATCTTTTATTCAGCAACGAATACCGGGCGATGGTTTGTGGACTGTGGACTTAGGACAAAGGACCGAGGGCCAGGTATAATAAGCCAGTTTGGAATAGACCTTATTTACGATACCTGCCATCTTTGCACGTGCTCTAGGATCGATGGGATAAAAGCTATGTGTATGTCACATGGCATTTCAGGGGGCAAACGAGTGATAAAATTTTCCAATACGAGCAATTGCGGTCGAGTTTATGTATTCTGTCAAAACAAGACGACGATTTCATAGTCGTGCAAAATGTACCTATCAAGTTTTGGCAAGATTTACGTCATTACTGTTTGCCATGAGGACATCTACCGTCGGTACTGCATACAAAAAAGTAGCAATGATCACTTCCACCCATATTTTGACATTATCATCTTTAAAGAGACACAGTCAGCTACGTGACTGCACTGACCTGGACACTATTTTTGCCAGTTTGAAAAGCATTTACCTCAACCCAAAATCAAATCTATGCATCGCATACATCTAGAAATCCGCTTCAATCCTGCCTAGTGTTTCATTCGATCTTCAATCTTTTACTGAAAATCTCTTTCTGAGCAAACTTTTACTCATCCTATTACATTATTTTATCATATTTGGTTAAAAACTGAGTATTCAAAGGAACATGAACAGAAGTGGTGAGAAACGCGTAGGTGCCAGGCAGGAGAAATCGCCTTTGTTTACCAAAATAACAAGAGAAATGAATCAGTTAAAAATTGATGAGCAAATAATTGCTATATATATTTGGAAAATCAATGGAGGTTCATATATATTTTTATATATTAAGAAAATCATGCTTTCTCGACCATGAACCTTCGACAATGATTCAGACTTTGTGCAATTTCTCACCTCCAATGATGTTCGAATTCGGAAGTATTCATCTATGTTTATTGCTTTCCCTGGAAAAATCCATCTGCAAATTCTCAATGGTATATAAAAATGAGTGCTCTGATATGGCTTAGGACCTACAATCACGATTTCGGCTTGTAACTAGTTCAACTCTTTAGGGTTTGTTTAGAGTATTCTGGATATGCCTTTGTTTTACACGCATCTTGTGACATGCAAATCAGCTAAGATGTGGTATCTAATGTACATGTGCCTCAGCTGACTGTGTCCCTTTAAGATGAAAAGGTCTCTATTTCCTGCTGTTTAGAATAAATGAACTTGACTGCGATTTCTTCTACTGGCAATTTTTTTCGCTTGTTTGCCCCCTGAGAAACCACGCGACATTGCTTTTATTGAATCAGTGCTTAAACAGGTGCAAAAATGGCAGGTATAGTGGATACATTGTTAAACAATACACACTTGGCTGTGATGGGAATGTTAAATTATCCTTGAATGCCAATTTTATGGTATTTCTTTTGTTTTCAACCCTTCTACCCTCAGCCTTGGAGCCAAGTATGAATTTTAAAAATTCATTATATAGCCTGCATAGGATGAAGTCACATTTTTTGGTGTGTTTTTTCAATTCTGTTTCATAATATAAGAGGTCAAACAAAAAAATATTTGGGGGATGGGGACAAGATAAGGAAGGTAGAGAGAACATCAGCGTGATGTCAGACAACCCCATGAGATTTTTGAAATCCCCTCTCCAGTTGCATGTGGCTCTCGTTTGGTGTGACATGTTTCCCCACTAACATTTTAAGTTTGACAGCTGTGAAAGCAAACTGTTGTGCCAAAGGTTAAAGTTGTTTATGTTTAAAATCAGCGCACTCAACTCATTTTTTAGGGATGTCTTTCATTGATTGGGAAGAAATTTCATTATTGGATTCAAAATTCCACTTTCAAATCAAAGACTGAAATTGTCTATTTAAAATGAATGTTGATTACTGTCTCATGGTAGTTAAAATACAAAGGCAAAAAAATCATATGCAACTGACAAAACTGTTTACAACAGCTGTTCACTTAATTTACATAACAGATTTTTTTCCCTTTACTTTCACGAATATTTCTCATTCAGAAACAGAACGATTGATTGCTTTTAAGAATTAGTCTTTTGGAGTTTTAGAACTGCAAAACTTAGTATTGCTGTCTAAAAACACTTGCAATAATATTTTGTTGAACAAAACAAGTCAGATGCTTCAAGCTGCTAAAGAGTTGCTTACTTTGCAAGTGTTTTGTAGAAAAAAAATTCTGATAGCCTGCGTAGCAGGCGCTAGGAAATAAATACTCGTATTTTGCCTGTTTTACTGCATGCTTAACTACTGATGAAAGTGCCTGGTCAGACGACAGCTAATTTTCCTCAAAAACTCATGCCATAGACATAACTTAAGTTTTCCAAAATCAGTGCCAGACTTTAGACTAGTTTTTATGGATAATTTAACCTTAAGTAACCATGAGATCTTAACATTAAGTAAGCTTACAATTTCATTCTTCCAGTTCTTAGGAGCCTTGATTATAATAAGTGTATTTACAAGATTAAAGTAAAAAACTTTACAGAAATTTACCATTTCCCTGTCTATATTGTATGATATGCACTGAGAAGTGGAACTGTTTGACATCAGCTGAAAATATATTAAATTGTAACACTAAAGGATTTCATCCCTGGAATTAAAAAGTTAGAACTCCATACTAAATAAATAGTACCATGTGAAATACTGCTTAAGAGGTTTCATTTGAATGATAACACAATAGGATTTCATCCATACACTCAAAAGTTTGATTTGCCTTTAACTTCTCCATTCACTGTAGGAGTTAAAAAGTTATGTGAGGTGTATACAATCGGCAACAAACTTTTGCCCTGAAGGGGCTTTCTGATGTTTTACTGACTTCAAAAGGGAAAAATAAAGCTTTTCCTACCCCATCCTCTCCATGCAATGTTGTGCTGCTGTGCGAGCTACGTATAGAAAACAACAAACGCCCCAACTTTGAATGGAGGGGAGGGGGACCCAATTTGAGTTCAATGTCTCAACAATTTTGTTGCTGATTGTAGGTACGTGTAAGGCTAAAAGGTGTGGTTTGATGGTTCCTTTTTGTCCAAAATTGATTATAGAGTTCAGTCATGTCCATCTAAAATGGGGTAAGGTTTTGTACTTTCTGGAATTGGCTGGTGTTTCTTTTTTTTAAATTTTTACAAAAAATGATTTGTCTTATGTGAACAACAATTTTGGTTTGAGATAGGGTAGGGAAATCATGTATTTTGGTCTGAAATAGAGTAGATCTTCTTGGTAGAGTAAGAAAAATGTTAGGAGATAATGTGAAATTTTGAGGAGGTCACATCATGTGACAAAAATGTCTGTTATTGATTTATGTAGCAGATTATATGATGTCTGTGATTTCTTTAGTGATTATTAGCTATAGAAAGCTTAAATTCATTGGATTTGCAACAAAATCAGAACATCTGAGAGATTCTGCCTGACGTTTTAAAGATAATTTAGCTTAATTTAGCCTTGAATTAGCATACCAGTTTGTTATTTTGGTGCAGATTGTGCAATGTTTTTGTTATTTATTATGAAATTTCTTATGGGTTATGGCATCAGATGTGATTTGAGATCAGTCTTGAAAAATCACACCATTATATAATGTCAGCCTTAGCCCTAATAATGTAAGGGTGTGAGTTGAAAGTCCTTATTTATGAGTGCCTCTAGAGGTCTCTAGAGGGCATTAACCCTTTAAGTTCTAAGAGTGATCAGCATCAAATTTCTCCTTGTAATATAATGCTTTGTAAAACAGAGCGGTCATGAGAATTACAGACATGATCACACAAGATGAATTTGCTTGACATTTTATCAACTTCTCCCCACTACTTTTGTAGGAAATGAATGGGGGCAACAAATGAGAATTCCAACTTCGATCTCAAGGTGTAAAGGGTTAATAAACGTTTTTATTCAGTCTGCTAGTCCTTGCTATTAAAATGAATAATTATTTTAATGTTCAGTTTAGAAAAAAAACTATTGCTTTTGAACTGTTTTTTATCGCAAAATCATGTACTTATGCTCTCTCTTTCTTCAGGAACAACACACGTGACCTTGAAAGTGACAAGTCAGCTGGGGGTATTACATTAGCTATTTTGCTGGTAAAGAGTACCGTATGTATTCTCTATTGCCTACTGTTGATGATCCCGTATGCTGTGCTTGGCATCCTAGCCTTCAATTCTTCTTGGACGTTGCTTCTTCCCTTGGTAACAGTCCCACTTGCCGTTGGTCTCTCGATTAGCCCTAATAATGTAAGGGTGTGAGTTGAAAGTCCTTATTTATGAGTGCCTCTAGAGGTCTCTAGAGGGCATTAACCCTTTAAGTTCTAAGAGTGATCAGCATCAAATTTCTCCTTGTAATATAGTGCTTTGTAAAACAGAGTGGTCATGAGAATTACAGACATGATCACACAAGATGAATTTGCTTGATATTTTATCAACTTCTCCCCACTACTTTTGTAGGAAATGAATAGCAGGAACAAATGAGAATTCAAATTTTGATCGTAGGGTTTAAAGGGTTAATAAACGTTTTTATTCAGTCTGTTAGTCCTTGCTATTAAAATGAATTTTAATGCTCAGTTCAGAAAAAAAAAAACCTATTGCATTTGAACTTTTTTTATCGCAAAATCATTTGCTTATGCTCTCTCTTTCTTCAGGAACAACACACGTGACCTTGAAAGTGACAAGTCAGCTGGGGGTATTACATTAGCTATTTTGCTGGGAAAGAGAAACGCATGTATTCTCTATTGTCTACTGTTGATGATCCCGTATGCTGTGCTTGGTTTCCTGGCCTTCAATTCTTCTTGGACGTTGCTTCTTCCCTTGGTAACAGTCCCACTTGCCGTTGGTCTCTCGGCCAAATGTTTCCGCGGTGATCTGGTGTTGATTCCACAAGGCACTGCTCAGTTAAATCTTTTATTTGGCTTCCTTTACCTAACTGGATTGGCTCTTGCACCTTGACAAAGCTCATTTACCGACAGTAAATGTTCACCTCAATAGATGGAAAAAGTGTGACGGCACGTTACCGTGGTAGTAAAAATTTCTGGATCACAGCAATCGTTCTTGTCAGAGACGGCCATTTGCATTGTCAGACGATGGAAGAAAAGTGTGGGCTACCTTTTTGCTCCTGAGTGTAATCCTGTAAAGGAAAGTCATGTATCTCCATTTTTTTCTGCCATATTTGCAGGGCAACGGTTTGTTAAGATCCAGAAATTTTGCTACCATAGCAATGTGACGTAACGACTTCTCCTCTCCATAACCAGTTGGCCCCGATCGTTTATGTCCACTGGATAAATCACTATCCTACGGATATCAGACTTTCTATTAAGGAAACCAATTGCATTATCCACTGGATAGAGATTTCTCAAGTGGATAGGGATATTTACCTTTTGAACAACTCGAGTATGGTGAATTAACGAAACTAGAAGATTCGTAGACTTTTTAAAACCGATTTATTTTCTCATCAGGTGAGAAAAGAACGCGAGAAACGGTGAGCGCATACAAGGATTAGGCAATCCTTTGCGAATCCCCTTTGGCACTTAAGTTTCATTTTACTTTCACACTGTTTTAAACTTGCATTCAGTTTTCTGTCAATTTTCCCTGTGCGTTCAGCATTTACATGTAACGGAAATATGAGAAAAGGAAGAGTTTTTGAAAGATCATGATAATATTTTCTATTGTGTCTAAACAAGAGATTAACTGGTCTTGAGTAAATCAAGCTTATTGAATGAATTTTAGTCATTACATCATGCCTTTCTTTGATTTGATCGTTTTTAAGGTATTAAACCGTCAGTTTTGTTCGATATGAACAAATTTTTTTAGCTACCTCTAATTGCTGTCTCGAGAAACTCGGACCACTTTTGTTGATGCTTTTAAGCACTTTATATTTCTCACCAAATTATTATTTTTTACATCAGAGATGTGAGAATATAATCCTCAAAAGAAAAACAACCTATGCCGTTAGTATTTGTGATTGATCGGCGAAAAACCGCATATTTTCTTGCTAAGTTCAGTTTACCAAGTGTATCGTATGTTATAAGCCCATCGTATCGTCTGATGTAAAGACTATTTTCTCATTGACCTTATTCTAGTGAAGGGTTTTTATAGTTGTTACTCAATGTTATTTATCAGGGCAATTTCATGCTTGCTGACAGCAATTTTAATCTAATTTAAGGGTATTGGTGTATTCCAGCAGAATATTTAAATGGACCTAAGGTTTCCTAGATACTGTATTTATTGCATTGTAACATAGTAACATAGTGTTGTTGACATATAATATTTCCTATATGGAGTGGATACCCACTGTGAAAGTTTCAGCCATGGCAATAAAATTGTGGGCCTTACTAAGGCTGGTGTGTACTTAATTCAAAGTGTCCGTTTAGTTACCTATTTTGAAGTACGTGTGAGACTTGTTTGGTGTGCTGCTGAATGGGCCATGGTCCTTGAATTTTAGGGGAAGTCCTTGAAAAGTCCTTGAATTCCATTTTTCCTTTAAAAGTCCTTGAATTTTCTTCAACTTTGAATGTAGTGGCCTCGAAAGAGTTTTTTGAGGCTTTTTGGTTTTCCAAGACAATATAAATCATAGCTCAGAGAATTTAAAGGTTATTTACATAAAGTGGTCTATGTTTTATGCAATAATTAACTATTAATTTAAGACTAGTGAACCGAAAATTTAGAGAAGTCGGTGAAGCAAACAGTTCAAGCCTTAAAGTCTTATCAGAATAGACTGGGAAATTGTGCATTTATGTACTATTTGTGAAATTATATTCCTAGTAGGTGGTCCTTGAAAATCTAATGTGGCCCTTGAAAAGGCCTTGAAAAATGGTTGCAATATTTTGTATGAACCCTGTTGACTACAACTACAATGTAAGCGCACACGAGCCAAAGGTCCAAACGGCCGAAACTTGTCCCTGGGAACGAAATTTCAAAATGATTTTTTCCTATATACTAATGCTTTAGATGATTTGTGGGCCAACTGCAACGTAGGCTATATCCCTCTCAGTGAATCTTAAACAGCTCCTTAAAGAGTGCTTAAACTTTACATTAACTTATATTTATACTTTACCTTTCTTTTGAAAGGTTATTTCAGTGTGTTCTTTCACGCCGCTGTAATACTTTTTGCTGCTTTTTTTGCGATGCAAGGCACTCAGCTGGAACATTCGACATCTACTGTATGTTGTTTTTCTTGTAGAATTTGTAGTTTTTTTGCGATGCAAAGCACCCACTTGCAATATAACAGTGATTTGCTAGCAATTAAATGCACTTACTTGACGAGTTGAAGAAAAATAAACTCCAATTTCTTCGTACTGCACCCATGCCAGTTACGCTTTGTGTAGTGTCTGAATTTCTCGTTTTTTCTAGACAGCCAGCGGGCCTTCTGTTATTATTTACCGCTGAAGAACACTCATCAGTCTTTACTGGGCCTTAAGTACCAAGTATTGCACAAAAAGTAAAATTAGCTAATATGCCGATTTTTCCTCTTTTATTTTCTCCTTGCTTTGCTTCCTTTCGCTTTTCAGTTTAAGCAGGCTGACGCTTCAGCCGTAAATGTTATTAGTTTGATACCGCACATGGGATAGCGGTTCTTGAATGTTACGCAACAGCATTCCGCCACGCATCTCCTGTGTACCATGACTAGCTACGACCTGGAGCTTGTGCAGAAAGCAAGCTTTCAGGTAGCCTACGTTGCAGCCGGCCCACGCACTCGTCTAAACCATTTGTATAGTCCGTCTATAGAGAGGGTTTAGGACCATATTCTCAGAGTGGTCTACCTGTTGTAATACCACAGTTAGACCATCCTCGTCCCTCTATTTGTGTCCGGAGGATAGCCCTCTGCAGGAGCCTGTCCTCTGTAATGAATTGTTCAGCGGCTTACCACGTCAACAATAAATTAAATGAAAAGCATTTCTGTTATTGCGTTTGTAAAACTATCCTAAGAGTTGTAAACAGCTACCATTCTTAAATGTCTATGTGTGCCGAGTACAGCGGAACCCCGCTCTACGGACACCCGCTTAATACGGACACCCGCTTTATACGGACAGTTTCGTTTGTCCCGACAAAAAGCTCATATATTTTCTCTAAAATTAAGCCGCTTTATACGGACACCGGTTAATACGGACAATGGCCACTTTTCTGTGTCCTGAGTCACAAACTCTCATATATTGTCAACCCCGCTTTACGAACACTGGTTATCTGCACACTGTCCATTTTCATTGTCACAGTTATGTGATAATTGTAGACATTGTGCCCTGTTCAAATAATGACAGATTTTTACAGGTGAATAAAATTTTATTGGTGTAGTACTAAAAAAAAAAAAAAACAGTAACAAAGTAGCGTGACATATTTTATTTTGAACAGTCTGTCTTTCTTTCGGTGTTTGACTCTTGTACTCGGTATAGTCCTTTGATAAAGGTTTCTGCCTCCTGTTACGCACGTTTCACTCCCTTGGCTTTTGAGTTGCAGTCATTGCTCTTAACCTTCTTCCTCTTTGACACTGTTAGCTTGCTGCGAGCTGTACCAGGATCATCCTCCGCTTGTATTGCTGGGTTCTTTGCTAACGTCTAGTAATTGTTCAAGTAAATCCACATGTTTCCAAGGACCATCAAAAATGTTAACACATGGTATTTCCATACCAAGACCACCACCCCGATTTACTGCCTTTCCACACACTTCTACAGATCCTTGGTTCGTAAACCTGTCTGCTTTGGTCTTTATATCGATAAAACATGTGTTCCTGACGTTTTCTCTGAGAGCCCGCTTAATACGGACACCCGGATAATACGGACACTATGGCATGTCCCCTTGGTGTCCGTATTAACCGGGTTCCACTGTAAATGGATCAGACCGGTCACGCGAGAACGAGATGAACATTGTTACGTACGAACACAAGGGAGACGCGTGATGGGTGTGGCCTCTGTGAGTATTAAAGGCCTTTACATTGTGTGACAGGCTGTTATTAGCATACGCATGTTTTGAATTTTTAACGCACATATTTGATTACTTACGCCTTAACAACGGTGTCTGCTATTTGCTGATTTTCACATCAAACTACTCAAAAACTAATTTTATCACAAACGAAAACATACTCCCGTACTGACAGTTCATGGAAGTTTATTAGCGTGACGTCGATTGGGTCGGTCATGTCCTTCTACACCAAGACTCGCAACTTCAACAACACCTTCACCATTTTCACGCGTTCGCTCAAACCATGGACATTTCCAGCGTCGATTTTGTCTTTTCTTCTCGGAACTTCCCTAGCTTGGAAACATGACGATAAGTTCCACCTTCTGAACTTTGTCCTGACGGGCTGTGTGATCTTGCTAACGCACTCAGCGGGGAATTTTGTCAACTCTTTCTATGAAGCTCAGAGCAGAAGATACTTCGTTTCGCCTGCCGCGCGAACCAGAACACTTGAACTGAATACGCAGTGGGCATTATGGAGCTACCTTCTTGGAGGCGCTGCTTTCACCTACTTGGCTTTCATCTCCGAAGCGGAATTTAGACAAGAATTTGGATTCTATGCCACTGGTTTTCTTGCGTCTTTGCTCCATGGTGGTGGATTAAAGAACATAGTGCTAGGCGATGTGCTGGCGTGCGGAATATTCGGTCCTGTGTCTGTTATCTTTGCCTATATAGAGCAAGTTGGAACTACTAATCGACAGCTGTCGAACGCCTGGATAGCCACATACTCCATTCCTTTTATATTATTTACAGAAGCTATCCTTCACAGGTATGTTATCCTATCGTCAGATTATTTACATAGCTTTATCTATGCTTAAAATAACGATTTATTAAATATGAATAATTGTATGTCATGTCGACTACGCATAACAAAAGCTTGTTGTGTTTTGTTAATAGCCTTGTGTGATGCGTTTATCTAATTATTTAGCTCTGAGAAGTATTCTTTTCATCGAAAAATACGTCCACGTTATCATGTAAATTTCTGTAATTTTTCCTGTAGTAATTGCTAACTCTCTGATTTTTACAATACCGACGCGTAAGATTGGGTTTTTTGGCATTCCACGCGCTTCTAGAAGGATTATTATGTCAGTGCCTCGGGTCTGAGATTATGACAGGGTTGTTAGACGAATAAATTTGGTGGCAAGGCAGAATATTTAAGAGTTTTCACAATATTTAGCTACTAATCCAGGAAAAACTGCTGCGTCCCCAGTTGTCTCTTTTGCCGCAATGTCTCCCGCGACCGTTCCCCAGCCGCCTACAATGATAAGAGACAACTGGGGACGAGTCAGCCAAAATAGCAGGTGGTTTGCCCACGAGATTCTCGGCTAAACTGGCGCGTGATCACGTCATATGTCTTTATAACCTGCGATCAGGTGTCCTTGTTCCCATGTTTTGGAAGACGAGGGGGAAAAGACGCAAATTTTGACAGATACATTAATCAGAGAGCGGCAACAGCGCGTGAAATAAATGTATCAGACGTTTTTACCCGTTTCCCCGTCCGCCGACTTTCGTGCCGCTACCCCCGAAAAAAGAACGCCTGATCGCAGGTTAATGTCTTATGAGGTTAGATCATAACGGAGCTTTACGAGGACTATAAGCGCGAACATGAATTTCTCCAAGAGCAACGCTAACTTGTAGAGGAAACAGTGAAACAGACGGATTTTGTAAACCGCTTGAACCCCATTACTTTTTTCGTGGGCTTGTGGCCCGCAGCTCCTATTCAGATGACTTGAGAATAGCTGTGCTGTTTGGCATGCAAGGGCAAGTTCCAACGAAACATACCATTTTCTTGAGGTCGTTGGGACGTTATTATTCAGCCGAGTTTTACTAAAACGTAGCTTTGTCTATGAATAAGGAATCAGAAGAATCCCTAAAAACAATTAGTAACCATATAGACTACAAACCAAAAAAACTACAGACTACAGTGTAACTTACACTTAAGCTGTGTGTACACATCCTTACCATCCTCAGTGTTTGTGTTGTGGTCTCCTTGAATATACCACCTGCGACTATTACAGCAGGATTAAACAAGGTGTTTACGTTTCTGAGAGTTTTTTTTCGTTGATTACATTTTCTTTCTATTCAAAACTCCGTAAATTATATCGCATTCGCTCTTCCATTGCCTACAATACAACTTGTTTGCCCCCGTCCAAATTGTGCATAACTATTGGTTGTTTACCATTTACAAAAAGTTTCCGGAAAATTCGGTTTGATAATAAATGGAACACGACTTTTTGGTCCGTTTCTGCGGAAAATTTCCGGGAGCTACGGAACATCTTACAAGGTAGTCCTGTTTTTCCGGACGGAATCTTCAAATGGTTCCATTTCTTCAAGCCATCTTATATCTTTGATACCAGTTTTAGACCTTAGCGGCCATTGTTTTGGGACGCTCCATGTAAATAGAACTGATTTGTGCAAATCAGGGGGCTATCTCCTGCTGACTGGCGCGTGCGCGTTTCCAGTAAAGATGCCAGAAGTCTTTGAGAAAGTTCACTCGGCTCAATTTCCCTCTCTTTTTTTAAGTGGCGAATTTACCCTAACCATGAGGCAGCCGGTTTGCCCATGTAAATTAAATGGTAAACGAGTATTGGTTCCAATTTTTCTGGTTACACTTTTACCAGGGGAAATTTAAAACAATGCTTATGCCAAATTTTGGCATATTATGGGCAATGCGAAAGTGCGAATTTATAAAAGCCTTTGTTTACAATCGAAAAAAACATCCATCCAGGCTGCAACTTGAGCCCGCAGTACAGTTATATGCCTCTGACAGCAAAAAATGCTGTCGAAATTTTGGGTGCTAAATAAACCTTTGAGCCGAGTCTATTTATGTTAGTTAAATATTGTTTTAATCGTTCAAGAATGAATATCCATAGTCTTCCACTTAAAATCAGGAGCCGAGTGTTATCGTGAGAAGTCACGGTGCGCGAACGGCAAGCGAAAAGATAGGCAAGAGTAGCCTGCGTAGCAATAGTTTCCGCGCAAGTTCGTCGAGAAGTTTGGGACGATAATGAAAAGAGGAACGCGAAAGAGAGCGGCCCTGGAAAAGAAAGCCCCTCGTGGCGATCTCTCGCTTCTCGCTTTCGAAATGAGAGCTTACTTGCAGGCTATAGCTTTCAACAATAAGATTTTTTTCTTTGTTTCTTTCTTCAGCCAGAACACTCGTGACATACAGACGGACAGGAAAGCCGGCATCAAGACCCTTGCAGTACTAGTTGGACAACAGGCATCTTGTTACCTTCACGCGTTCTTTCTGTTGTTCCCGTATGTAGTGATCGTCCTCCTTGGCGCGGCTTTATCACCATTCATTTACATACCTTCGGCAACCTTGCCATTTGCTCTGAGTTTAAGTGTGTCGTGTTTTGAAGGAGAGTATTTTACGCTGCCTCAGAAGATAGCCGTGCTAGATTTAGCTTTTGGAATACTGTATGTATTAAGCGTTTATTGGTCTTGAAAATGCAACTGGAAGACAGTCAGTTGGTTTATAGGCGCGGTTCGTCTTGGATTTCTGGCCGATATTAATATATTAGCTGGATTTTTTCACTAACCAGTAGCCCGGCTCCGCCGTCAAATCTCACTCGACTACTACACAATACCGCCAGCTACGCAGGCTAACTAACCAGCGATCAGGCGTTCTTTTTTTCCGGGTGAGCGCGAAATTGGGACCGCCAGATGGCAGGTTTAACAGGTTTTCACTAGTGGTGTAAACAAAGGGCGAGAAACAAGATCTTTGTTTCATCGAGAAAACGACCTAGAGGCACGTATAAGCGCTCATATAAGCACAATTTTTTCCGTTTCTTGCTCTTGTGTGTATGCTGTTGCCTAGCCTCGAACGTTCGGCCTGTCTCTCAGTTTGCCCTTTCTTCTGTAGACTGTTAACAGTCCCCTATTTTTCTGTAAGATCGTCGAGATCGAAGACTGCGTTATACGGACAGCCATATTAGGTGAGTGTCAAGTCTACCACGAGAAAACAGGGGACTGTGAACATTCTATTCCGTCTGCGACCGTTTTTACCTCACAAAAGATTCTTATGCTTATGCCTACAAGAAAACCAGGCTTTATTATCTACCACTGAAGATTCCAGAGACAGTGCCAAGGAAATAGATTTAAGTAATCAATATCTTATGTTTCACATGCTATTCGAATTTTTTAGCCCATTTTTTAATTCATAGATATCTTTTAGCTTAAATATATAACTTCTTAATTGTGCATGCGCTGTGCAAATTCTGAAGTTGCAGAAAGCAACTGGGTCCAATAGAAAGATTATATTCAAAGGAACTGAAAGAATTAAGTTAAGATTTCAATTAAGAGGGAATTGGCCAACTCCCAAACGCGGGTTTCAAACGGACGCTTTCCAATTTTTTAACAAGAAATCATAAGCCTTATAACATACAATTCCCGTATTTACTTGATAAAACGCCGCGGCGTTGTGTTAGTTTTAAGCTTTTTTTATTCTCTATTTTCCAATTCCCCATAATACACTCTGTTTGCCCCCCAAATTTTGCATAAACCATTGTTTTTAAATGCTCCTGGGAGTATTGCATTTTCCCAAGAGCATTTAAAAACAATGGTTTATGCAAAATTTGGGGGGCAAACAGAGTGTATTATGGGGAATTGGAAAATAGTCAATAGGGCCTTTATTTCAGGGCGGCGTTTATTTCAATATCATTTCTTAAAGGCACTGTCAACAATTTCGCTAACTTACATGTTTCGTTAAATTAAACAGTTGCTTAAAGTTCCACAGACTCGCCTTGGTTGCCGAGATAGAATCGTAACCTTAGGCCTAGGCCACACGTCGAACTTCTCATGACACGAACCAAACTCTAATTTGGGTCGACTTAAATAAAGTTAAGAATCGTGTACTTGGTCAGACGATGAACCAATTGACTGTATCTTGCCAAAAGCAATTTTAGAAATATACTTGTCCCGAACAAGGCTAAATATACATTATCATACAAATTTATAAATTATTAGTTTAGTTCGTCGCATGTGAAGATCTACGATCTTCAGACGGATAGACCGCGTTGAACGATCCAAACTCACTCGACGAACGTAATTGAGTCAGACGTCGAACTTTGTTATGAATTTAACTCACAAAATTTGGTTCGTCTCACGAAAAGTTCGACGTTTGGCCTAGGCCTTACAATTATATATACCGAGTTTTTTGTAATCACAGAATGAACGCCGCATTCTTTTGACTTGATGCGGCGATTATTTAAGAGCAGCGTTTATTCGAGTGAATACAGTATCCACCTAATATTTTCTTTGCTAATTTTATTGTATTGCGCCCGCTTTTTTTTTCAGCCTAATTCTTGGGAATTTCAGCTGACTGCAAGTGGCCACCAAAAATAAATTAAGTGTTGTTGTCATGACCAATAATACTTTAAGAGCATGACTCAATTATTTTTTTAATCGTTTCGTTTGTCGAAAGTGCCCTTAACTTTTCGCGCCCGAAAAGTTGTTTTGTGTTTCCCTTGTTTGCATCCAAGATCAAAGCTTCAGTAACTTTGAAAATGATACAATACTACACATACCCCTCCCGTTACAAAACAGCCTGATGAAAAGTATAAGCAAGTCAATTAAAATAAACTGGGTCCAAAACCTAGATTTGTCTATAAGGGAACAAATCGTCCATCGATAAATAAGTTATAAGGTTCTGGTTTGCTAAAGAAAGCAATCTTTCCGTCCTCTCTTGCTTTTTTAAGACGTGGCCACTGCTTTTTTCTTCTTTAGCTTATTTCTTTAGGAAAATCCGCGTAGACCTTGGGCGCTTTCCATTTAGTCAAAATTTTCGGAAATTTCGGTTCGATAGAAAATGGAAAACGTTTCGTCGGTTCGTCCCACTGGAAAATTCCCGGAAAAAGTGGAAAATCTAAAAAGGTAGGCCCGTTTCCCTGTTGGAATTTTCCGAAAGGAATTTCGTGTTCCATTTACACGTTTCTTGTACTTTATACCAGTTTCAATTGTTACCAACTCGGCAGCCATCTTGGTGTCCCATCGGGTAACGGGCTCGGAGCCGTTCAGGGAACAACTTTTTACCTGTGGGGAACTGATCCATTTTTGTTCCCTCTGAAATTTCCGGATTTTTTACCTAAATGGAAAGCGCCCCTTGCCAGCTCGCACACTCTTCGAAAAACCAGCTCACGTTCTGGAAATCTCAAAAAACGAACAATCACCGGTCAGGATCAGTTTGCCCTTTCATATTTTTCTATAAAAAAAATTTGGCCGTATTAACCAGGTCGTGGCCGTATACGCGTATTACCGGGGCAGGCTCAAATCTCATAATTTGAGGGCCGTAATGACAAATACACCGTACATCGCATTCACCGTACTGCTCTCATCAATAAACAACCGGAATGTAGACATAGTATAGTAATTTAAAAAACTACTTAAATTTTTTCTTCAGGTCATGAAACTCTTTTAAAAGTCGGCTATAAATCGCCACAGGTGCATTTTAAGTGTAACGTAGTCTAATCAAAGAAAGACTATCGTCAACTCGTGGGAACGTAAATGATCAAATGGTTATCAACTCTGGTTTTCCCACAGTAAATTGTAGGAAATGATAGAAATTCAGATTGTTTATCCATGTACAATATATTTAATATACTATCTTTGCTCTGGAAACACAATACTTTTCTTTTTGTTTATTGCACTTTTAAATAACAGTTATTTAGGTATATATTTATAGAAAAACAACAAAACAAATAAGCAAACAAAACAAAGAGCGGAAAAACAAGAAAGAAAGAAGGTAAAAAAAGGATAAAAAGCCGAATTTGCACCCGGCACCTTCGGCTGTATGCTACTTTACTTTACCACTACAACCCCAAGGCTGATTACATAACTATGGTGAAAACTCT